GAGGGATGCCTTCCAATCATTCGATTAACAAAGAACCATGCAGGCATGGAAAATCATTTGCATTCATTTCGTGCATTATTTACATTCATTTGCCTCTAACTTTTTTTTTCAACAGCATTCCGCAAAATAATGTAAATAGCTTTTGTAGGTTTTGTTATTAGCTACAACTTTTGTTAACAAGTCTAATCCATATCTCTTATGCATCACGAAGCAGAGCAAACATAAGCCACTACTGTTTTTCAGTGAATGTATTTTACATTCACTGAAAAACAGTAACAAGTTCTGCCCACTCTAGTTCGTGATGCATAAGAGATGCAGATTTGAGTTATGAGCAAAACTTGTAGCTAATAGCAAAACCTACAAAAGCTCTATACATCATTTTGAGGAATGCTGTTTATGAAAAAAGTTAGAGGCAAATGAATGTAAATGAATGTATGAAATGAATCCAAATGATTTTCCATGCCTGGAACCATGACGTGAAATAGGATCATAAATTCGTTGAAAAAAGTGTTAAGCGTCTTTCTGCTAGAGGATACGATTTACCAACTTGTTGATAGAAGGAGTTTAACGGGGAGAAGCTTTAACTGGGTGGACACTGATATTCTATCAGCTGTTTCTATACAACGCCTAATTTAGTGTTGAGAGGCACTGCAGATGAAGTGTATGATAAAATACCCATAATGAGAGAGGCATGATTTTCTAGCTTTCCAAAATTGATTATTTTTTTCATGTCCGATTGTCAAGCGACAAAACCGTAAAAAGAGGATGAACTTCAGCTGATATGCCCTTAATTGATGCTTTCGACAGTGGCTGACCGAAGCTCCTCCCCTTTGGTGGTATCGTTAGCATCTCGTGTTTCGTTCGATGTCCAGTGTCGTATTATTTATTGAATCGAATTCGTGTACTTGGTAACAAACTGTTTGTTACCTTCAGCGTGTCACTCATTTCTGCTCACCTGCTACAGCTGAACCTGCTGAATCGCTGATTGAAGATACAAAAACGACCCTTTTCAGGGCCACCAATTTATCTTCAAGAGATAGGTTGATAAGACAGAACTACTCAGAGTTGGTGCAATGGACCGAGTTACTCGATTTTCCTCAAAATATGATCGAAAGTTCAAAATATGATCGAAAGAAACCACCTGTTCATAACGACAATACTTACTGACATTGCCCCATTGCCATTGTCTGCAAATATGCCAGCTAAAGGACATTTCTGCCCGTCTCTCAAGACGTGGTGCTCTCTCATCACTTGCTCGAGCCTGGTTTTGAGAATGCGGGAGAAGAGCTTGTAGTCGCTGTTGGGCAGCGAGATCGGACGATATAAACGGGCTGTGTCGTCGTCGCCTCTCTTCTTAACCAGCACGATGATGCCTTCGACCGGAACGGCCGAAAATCACTGCTGATCTTGAGAGTAGCAAAATCACACAGCAGAAAATCAAGGCTGATATTAACTTAGCTGATCTTGAGAGTAGCAAAATCAGAAAGCAGAAGTCAGTGCTGATTTTAACCTTAACTGATTTCAAGGTAACAAAAAACCAAACGGAAAATCAATAGCTTGGTATTACAGTCAAAGTAAAAAACCGGCATCCAACGCCATTTTGGAATCAAAGATGGCGGACCAAAATCCAATATGGCACCCCCCCGGACAAGGAATATGCATCTAAACCCATGCAATATGGGTATATACGGAATGGGCTCGATTAGTGGAAGTGGAAAATTGACATACACCGCCATTTTGGAAGTCAAGATGGTGGACCAAAATCCAATAAAGCGGCCCCTGCACAGGGAATATGTATCGAAACCTATGCAATATTGGGTTTAGATGCATATTCCCTGTCCAGGGGCCGCCATATTGGATTTCGGTACACCATCTTGGATTCAAAAATAGCAGCGGATGTCAATTTTCCACTTCCCCTCATCGAGCCTATTCCATAGATACCCATATTGCATGGACTTAGATGCATATTCCTTGTCCGGGGGCCGCCATATTGGATTTTGGTCCACCATCTTGGATTTAAAAATGGCGGCGGATGTCAATTTTCTACTTCCACTTATCGAGCCCATTCCGCAGATACCCATATTGCATGGGTTTAGATGCATATTCCCTGTCCTCGGCCGCCATATTGGATTTTGGTCCCCCATCTTGGGTTCAAAAATGGCAGCGGAGGTCTATTTTCAACTTCCCCTCATAGAGCCCATTCCGTAGATACCCATATTGCATGGGCTTAGATGCATATTCCTTGTCCGGGGCCACCATATTGGATTTTGGTCCGCCATCTTGGATTTGTCATCTTGGGTTGAAATCTACCATTTTAATTTCATCCGGAATGTTCACTTGAATTTCGGAATGCCCCAAACTCTAGATTAAACATATCTTCTAATCCTATGATTTTCGATGATTTTGATCTTGGTTGATATTGATTCTTGTTGATTTCGGGAATCGAAAATAACGGCTGATATTGGTCGAAAATCACGTGTGATTTTCTTGGTTATGATGTCTTGTGATATTGGTGCCGGTGATTTGAGGTGATATTGATCTTGAAAGATAGTTGATTTTGATTTTCTGATCTTGATTTTAGTCAACACTGCCTCATTCAGTAACAGATTCAACTCGCGGTGGACAGTGGCGCCGGTGGTGTAGTGGTAAGCGTGATTGTCTCTCACCCCAGCAGGCCTGAGTTCAATCCCAGTCGGCGCCACCAGGATGTTCTGAGCAGTGCTGATAAAAATCCTTTCTTCTACACTCAATTTAGCTGAAAATGAAGAAAACCTTAACAGATAGACCAACTACCTGCATGAATTTGAATTTTGATATAAACAAATTCCCTTGATCTAGGCAACCTCTGAGTATCAAAAATAACATTTGTTTTTCTTCATTCGTGGCTGGATTCTCATTATTCCCTCTGATGTTGTAAATATTTATATTCGTCTTCATCTTGGTCGGGATGACATTGAGGATCAAATGCAAAATGATTATTTTCATTTTAAACAAATATAGCGCTGAAGAACGTGGTTTTTAGACATAAGTCGACGGCAAATTATTGCCTCAAGCTGAACTGATGATAATATCGATGATTTAGGCAGTGTGGTCGACAATATTCAAAATAATCATTTTGCCCAAAATGTCGTTGATTATTTTGCTTCTGAGGATCACTTCTGATTTTCACAATTTTGAGTTTGATAATCGAGCACCGGTGAATATCAACAAACGCGTATTCGTTGATGTATAATAAACTCATTTGTTCATTTCGCTCGTTTCGTAACTACGAAGATGTTCAAAACAAATGCAAATCATCGACACTGGGTTGAAGCGATACTCCTTGCATGTGATGGTAAATGATAAAAACAGACACTGGTTCTGAGGCATAACATCTCTGATCACGCCTTCCTTCGGAAGGGAAGTAAAGCCGTTGGTCCCCAGTTCATGAGTTGATGGGTTGATAAGTAGGTAGGGTCCAGGTGTGGGAGCTGCCTACCTGTCGTCAGTAGCATTGGTGCTTAGCACAGAAAACAAGATCGACGGAAAACAAATCAAGGAAAAAAAAATTCAACGGTGACTTTAATAAAAAAATATTTTACAAAAAATTCACTGCTCAGTACAGCTACATTCTTCCCAGCGATACACCCGGAAATGACGACATGATCGTAATGTTCTTCATGTAGTCTTCACAACTAGGGATTATAGAAATAAATTCATCAACTTAAAGTCCACCATCTCCAGGGGTACGTCTCCAAATTGGTATTCCAATCCATGCTCTCAGCTACCATCACAAGATCCACCAACAAGCAGCTGTCATCGTAAGCTTCAGTTTCTAATTCTATACCTCTGAACTAGAGGTGTAGAGGCATAGACGATGGCACGATTCTCTCAAACAAGGTCCATTATCCATTGGCTAGGAGATTCCCACGTAACATAATAGCAACTTTTATTTTGTTGACTTCTATCTGCCACAGAAGCTATCAGAAATCGTCACCTAAACAAACATCAATCATTCCTGAATCCATAACTACCAAAGAAATCATCTAATTTGATTGGGGCTAAAATTTTGGCTAATATGGAGTCATTGCACTAGACAGGGATGAGTGACTAAATCACATTTTATGCTGACGAACTTAACATTGATAACTTTAATTCAGTCATGGAAATTCATCAATTTACAGTCATTTGCCTCATACTATAAAATAACATATGGAAATTTTGTAGGTCTTCATATTTTACGGAATTCTGTTAATGAAAAAAACTTAGAGAAAAATGAATGCAAGAAATAAATGTAAATGCCTGCTTTAATCAATAAAATGCAACCACTTGGTAATAAGTTAATATATAATGCAAAACTGTTGAAAAAATTGTTTCAAGCTGAAATTATTAACATTGGAAACATAATGATTTCTCGAAGTATGATTTAACAAAGGGAACGGAATTACGAAGCTGGCGGAGGCGAGTTCAACTCCCGGTCCGAACGAGGTAATCTTCTGGGTTGAAAATTTTCTCGACTTCTCTAGAAATTGGTACTATTGTACCATACGACATATAAATTCATGCATTGGTTTTCATAGAATGCTCTCAATTCATAACTGTGGAAGTGCATCTAGAACACTAAGTTGAGATCCGGTCAAACGCTCGCTTCAGAAGCGTACAAAGCCTAAAAAAATAATATCCACCCTAGTTTTATGTTCTTTTTCTTCGTCTACATGGTTATTTGACATTATCATGTCCTATTGAAAGGAATTCTTTTAATTATGTCACTGTCCATTATGAAACATTCACAGAAATCTTTGTTTTCACAGCCATGTTTACTCGAGTTAGTTTTCAACGCAATTTGAACACGATTTTAACATTTCTATGATAAATTCATGTTAGCATAAAAATATAATTATTCCGCGGATAGATTAAAATGATGTATTACAATTCTTTAATACTTCAAATTTAAAGTAGCTTAGCTCCATAACTTTTAAAGTATAACCACAAGAAAGAGACGGCATTCTTTGATCACTTACCATCAGTCATTGTTTGTTGGCCTCAAGTTTCAGTCCTGAAAATATATCAAAAGAATTGAAACAATCGTAAGAAGAAATGGACCACCACATTGCTCGAATAGCTTGTACAAACACAAAGTTGAGCTAAATGAAGAATCTTACCCGGTTACACAACAATCTATAAAGTTTACTTTTACGCAAAATTCAAGGACAACCAAGAGTGGGGAAATTGTGGTTGTAAAGATGATTGCGATGCTCAGAACGGTTCCACAGAAATAACCAGCACGGTTCAGTGCCACGGAGCGTAATTCCATATAATAGCCAACAAAGTTGGAGCAAAGCTTTATCTTTGGTCTCAGTTACTCTCAGCTTGACGTGGACTGTTTCTTCTAGAGTGCTAAGGAATCATACACTTTTTAGGGCTCACGCGTTGGTTGTAAAAGGAAGACTATCCCTGGATCAGTTTGGTAGTTGGACAGTTTTGTTTAGGGTGATGAATTGATTTTTTGGTAACAAAATTCATAGAATTAGACACTTTTTCACCAGCCTAGTAGCTCGGCGAGATTGTTTTATTTGACTGAAAATCTAAGTGCAAATGAAATCAATCTGCATCGCACATTTACATACATACTTTCAGTAGATCATATTGCACAACAGTTCCTGAAATAAACCAGCAAAGCTCACAAAGTACGCTACAGTAAATGCAAACTTATAGTGGCCACTTCTGGCCCTGGTCAAACTGTACGAGCTCAAAGATTTATCGCTACATAAGCACCAGAAGGCTAAAATTTATGTTAATTAAATTATTCTTCATTTTTGCTCCACCAAAAAATGCACGGCAATTTTTTCCGCTGCTACCCGACTAGATGGAAATAACAAGATTGCATCACCATGTGTTACGTTGTTATACTGTTTTCTTTAACAACGATTGTTGTAAACTAGATGCAGGGTGCTGTTAAATATCTAAATTTATGACATAATTTACTCCAGTCTTAACAAAGAAATAACATAGTATGTAACAATCCTATAAAAAAAAATTGGTGGAGTTGTGTATAGGACACGACCGCATGGTTGACGTAGACTACGTTAAGTGGTGTAGTGAAATTCTCGTGCATTTATCTAGATACTGATTTAAAATACAGTAGAAGTAACCTATGATTTCGGTCGTATGTACATTAGACTGATGCAAAATTTGACTTTTTCGCTCCACAGTGGTTAAATGGTTTCAAATCGGGTCCTGATTAGCCTCCCAAAGTTACAACTCATTTGGTTAGAAACAGACTTCGCACAAGCCATTTGAAGTTTACATGTAAATTACTATAGGAAATCTTAACTTTTTGTTCATTGCCTTTTGGTCTTTTTCCATATTGAGCTGCGAAACAGTTCGATAGCCATTCTTATAGAAAAATTTTTCAGCTACAACTTTGCTTAAAATCGTTTCTATGTAGAACGAGACAGGAAAAAGTTATTAATTATTTAAGAGATTGGTAAACTTATGACAAGATCAAGCAGCTGCTCTGTAGGCAACACTGTATTTTTCAGTGTGACATAGTAGCCATGGTTTTTGTGTCCTATTCAATGCCCCAGAAACACCAATGTTGCCTGCTGAGCAGTTGATTGAGCATGATCATCAGACATAAGCGCATTGAACCATTGATAACTTTCGATCCTTGCATTTAATCAAAAAGTGGTCTATAGCAAAGTTGTAGCTGGGAAAATTTCCTACAAGTACAATTGAAAGCTTTTGAAGCAGACCGATATGGTGAATTATTAGATAGAAATGAACCAAAAATCTTGGTTTTACCATAGTAATTCCCATACAAACTTGAAATGGTTTGTGTCATCTCAGTTTCTCACCAAATGGGTTCAAATTTTGAGAGGTTAGTCAGGATCCGATTTGGAATCGTTTAAGTATTGTGGAGCGAAAATTTCAAATTTTGCATCACTCTAATGTACATATTTTGAATTTCCTACTTAGTAAAACTTGGTTAAATTCAGGACCTCATAAAAATGCGAATATATATTCTATTAAATTTTGTTACTAAATTATAATCAAATATGATTAAGGTTTTCTTCAGGTGATTCATTGCAGCGTCCAACTTTAAGATTTCTAGGGCACAAATCTTGGACGGTTGTGACATCACTCATGAAATTAAAACTCCTTGTGTACTGCACTGAAGCAAACTTGAAGTTCCAGTTTCTTTGTTATAAGTTTTGTGAGAGCTGATATTTGTGCCCTTGAAATTTTTATGTTGTGCTGAGATTGATCAGAAATAAGGTTTCCACAGCGATTCAACTCCAAAACGCTAAAAAAATGCACACACAAAACCTGAGAGCACAATTTTGCACCAATGTTATGCAACATTTCGTAGTTGATCGGGAATATCTCGATTAGCCATAAATCTCTTCTCGGTACATCTGTTATCAACCGATTGAGAAAAAAATAAAAAATACTATTGATGTTTTTTAAAGATTTCGTTTGCATTTTATAGACGCACATGCATTATTCGGCATAAGAACACGGAGCGTTTCTGTGATGGGAAAAATGAGGCCTACATATCTATCACATATTACAAATTCGAATGTGAGCATGCATAAGGGCGTAACTGCGATGATCGATTCGCTCTTTTGTTAATAACTCACTTGCGTTTGCTGTTGCCTTTGATAGCCAATACAACCTGTTACAGGCTACAGCACTACATTGAACAAATTTCTGATGATATTCAAGCTGAACATTGCATTAGGTTCTAAGTATAACATTACCGTTTCTTGTTGTGTTCTAAGAGGAATAGAAGACAATACTGGGGTGAAAGCGAACCACTTTTCTGTCAAACGCGAACCAGCTCGTTATTGGCCGATTTGAAGTGCGTAAGATAGAGATAGAGATACAGATAGAGATAAAAGAGTAAGAAGCCAGTTGTCTCCTCTTCATATTAGGTTGTGTTTGTCGTATTAGATGCTAGATAAAAGCTTCTTTCATCAATCTGCGTGCTGACAATACCTTCTTCTTCTCTTTCTTCTTCTTTTTCTTCTTCTTCTTCTTCTTATTCGCATTTCAAGCTTATTGCTTAGTGTATACTAGCTTATTGCGTGCTCTTATCTTAGTGTTCTAAATGCACTTCCACAATTATTATTTGAGAGCTTTCGATGCCAATACCAATGCATGAATTTGTAAATTGTGTGGCAAGCACAATGATACTCTGTGCCCAGGGAAGTCGAGAGAATTTCCAACCTAACCGGGAACCGGAAATCGAACCCGCCGCCTCCGGCTTGGTAATAACGTGCCTTTAAGGCACCCTGGCTGAAAATACCAGGGAATGTCTTTACATGGCCGAGGGGATACAAGGAGAAAGTCGACGAAGAGAATCGGTCAATGTTACTTAGGACATAATGCAATGTTCAGCTTGAATTATTTCACTTAGCTATAGCAATGCAAAAAGAAAATCGATGAAGAGAATGAATCATTGCAAGTAGGCCCTTTTCAACGCTTACTGTCGAATTTCAATACCTAGCACTGCAAAAGACTCGAAGATACCTCTATTTATGCTAAGAAAATAGCATTGTAAGTTCCTCCTACTTGGAGAATTATGCAATCGAATGGCTTGCTTTACCTCGCCCTCATCAGCAAAAAATTCGGGATTTTACAAACCGTTCTATAGCATAATTTTCCAAGTAGGATGGACTTACATAGCTAATCTAAAAGCATAAATAGAGGTAACGTCTGATAATTTCAGTGCTTGGTACAAAAATCTGTAAACTGTGTAGGAAAATCCTTTTTTTCACCACAGAAAAACCCCGTTTTCTTATGCAAAATAAAGGATGTGCGTTCACAAAACGCACGAAGTCTTAAAAAAAAACAATTTTTAGTATTTTTTTTTTTTCATTTTAAAAGATAGATAAAAGATGTGCCAAGAATTAAATGGAGAGATTTCAAGATAAAATGTTCTGATCGCGAGATAGTCACGATCAATACTGAAATTTCACATAAATGTCAAACCCATTTTTGTGTGCTTTTAATAGCATTCTGAGGAAGCTCTATCTCTACCATTTTTAGACTTATTTATTTATTTCGTCAAGCAAAGTAGACTACATACAATGGTTACAATGTTTTACTTACATACTATGCATTATTTCTATAATGTTTTAGTTGGGTTTTAATTTCTTCTTTTGACATAATGATGCTAATGACTTCACAGTGTAGATTATACTGTCACTTCATTCGATTGAAGTGGCCATTTTTTGCGTAATTTGTTCTGTGTGATTTTTCTGAGAATAATTTTCGTGTTCTTAGATGCCGACAGGGTGTGTAGAAGTTTAATTGTGAAAGTATTTCTGATGATTCTATGCGATGTGAAATAATGTCATTGATGAAGAAAAGCATTGCAAATTCGCGGCGTTCTTTGAGTGTTTGTAAGTTGATGAGCATACAGCGTGCTTTATATTATGGAAGAGGAAATGCGGTCCAATTCAATTTCCGAAGGGCATATAAAAGGAATTATTTTTGGACGGATTCTATGCGTTCCTCGTGTATGGCAATGCACGGATTCCATACTAGGTTACAATATTCCAGAATAGGTCTTACGTATGTAATATATAATAATTTGATAGTGTATGGGTCTTGAAAATTATAGCTGAACCTCTTAATGAAGCCCAACATACTATTTGCTTTCGTTATGATTGTATTATAATGTTCTACAAAAGTGAGTTTGGAGTCTAGGATCACACCTAGGTCCCTTATAATTTTACATTTTTCTACTTTTTGGTTGCCTAAAAATATTTCAAAAAGAGGTGTTTCTGTTTTTCTGCTAAATACAATTGCGTTGCATTTTTTTTACATTGTTTTGGAGTAGACTTTTACTACACCAAGTGTTGAATAAGTTGATTTGATTCTGGATTCTTCTGTGTCACTAGAATTACTTATTTCCATGAAGAGCTTCATGTCAAACTTTTATTTTTTTAAGTATGTAGGAAATGTCGTTTACGTACAAAATAAAAAAGAATTGGGCCTAAATGAGAGCCCTGGGGCACCCCAGAGGTGACCGAAATAGGTTCTGAA